CTGTGCCATCATATGTTTTTGGACAACTAGTTTTTACTTTTACTTGATTACAAATATGTGCCATGCTTACTCAAGTGACATATTTTCAGCAGTAATGAAACATCTGAGTTTGTTGGTTTCCTTTGAGTTTGTAAGGATCTACATTTCTGACTAGACAATTTCTGAAAATACCAAACCATAGCCTCCTTCACAAGTTTATTCCTAGGGATGTCTTCATCCTTGTTCTTTTCATCCATTCTTTTGCGGACTTTTAGCAGAGATAAGGGCTTTTGCGGGAGACCTTGACAGTTTATGTCTGCGTTGAACAATAAGTGAGCAAAAGGTTGATTTGTGTGTCTGGATCATCCAGCTGGCGTGACCTTGACTTTGCAGCTCTGGCATGTATGAAAGGTTACTGTGTCAATTCGATGGTGAAAATGTACCCTTTTGATTCATTACAATGCATTAACACTGTATTGGAGCAGGCGGAGGGAGACAAGGGGTCTTAACACACCTCTGTTGTCGCTTGGCTTCCCGGGGCTGGAGACTAGGAGGGGGAGCTGGCCCTCTGGTTGGGGTCTGGTGTGGTGGGTTGCTTTGCTCAGCATTGGGCGGGGGTGCCTGTTCATCATCACCACAGCAAAAAGGGGCGAACTCTGGGAACCGGTGATGGTTGTACCCCTTGTGCAGCAGTACCAGGACCAGAGTGAATAGGGTGTGTATGGGGAGCATGACTTATGTTGTATGTGAATGTGTGAGCATGAGGGAGGGACTGTGCGACTGTGTCTGTGTATGGTTGTATATGTCAGGTGGGGTCTTGGACTCATCCCCTCTCCTGGGACTTCTTGTGCTACTACCATCGACATATATACTGGACAATTTGTTTCCATAGGCTCCAATTATGTTTTTGTGCCAAAATGGGAGGTGGCCACCACTGCCATTTTGACTGTGTCACAGGTTCCGTCAAGCCCAGACAATTCCAAAAAAGGGAAAAGAGGTGGAGCTGAGGTTGGGGTTGTAAGGCTGGGATCAAGTGACAACACCCGTCGAACTGAAGCGATGTAGCTAACCCAAAGCTAATGTGGAGGTGGGAGCTAAGCTATCGGAGGTAGCAACCTAACTACAACCGGAGTTAACTGGGCACAACACCGGAGCTTCTGAGTCAGGGATACGCCAGGCTGACTTCTGGGTAAAACCGGGTGGAACACAGAGGTCTCCCGAAAGCTCCACAAGCCAGTAACCACACACCAGACAGGCGCCGCTGTGAACAGATATGCGCCGAGCTGCTGCTGTGGAAAACCGGGTGGAAAACTTCAGTTTCCATCCAAGAGCCCAGCAAGCTGGCAGCCGCGCAGCAGACAGGCACTGGGATCAGAGATGCGCCGAGCTGTCGCTGAGGAGAAGGGATCATACCAATACTTGAAATCCAGTTCCACCAACATGTTATATTTCAACCCATTTAAATTTCATGGTTAAACAGTACATATTAAAATCTAAGCTCAGCTAGTGCAAGAGCGGCAGTGACCTAAAATACATGAATATAATTTTTCTTAAAGAAAAAAATGAAGTGGAGACTCCTTGGATGCTCTATTAGTGCAATTAATACCACAGCAAGTCATTTTGTCCAACAATTGCACAAATAATTTACAAAAAGAACGCACAAACGCTACAACTAATGGTCTAAGTTGAGAGACTGAAAATCGCAGAACAGTTTTCAGACGAGGCTGAGGCTCAGACTGAGGCTTTTTCCCGGAGCTAGCTCTGCATTTACATGGGTCTGATGCTCATTATTCAGAATTTTAGGCATTTAATACACTTAAACAGAATAGTGACTAGTATAAACTAGATCTATTAAACCTAAAACATGTTTTGGAACCAGGCTGTAAACATGTTTATTTCTGCTGTGAAATTTGTATTTTTAACATGGGAGTCAATGAGGATTTGCTCGCTTCTGACACCAGCCCCCAGCGGATGAGGGTGGAACTGCAATTTTTGTCACTTCCGTGCTGGCTTCACTTCCAGACCTGAATTATGGGGGCTTGGCTACTACACATCTTCGTCTGCCCTCCCCCTGCCACATTTGATGTGGAGTGTGGTGCCTTGGTCTGCCTGAGTGTTCGCGGCTCCCGGGTCAGGGGGTTTAAGATTTTTGTCATCTATCTAGCCTGGTGGGATCTGATTCCCTGGGCTCAGATCTCACCCGGCAGCCCTGAGTCGGCTGGGCTGGTCGCCCCTGGGTCCCGGGTTGCTGGGTTCCGGGCTCGGCCGGCTTGGGGGTGGGAGGCAGCAGGCGGGCCTGTGGGCTTGCCGTTGATATCTCCCGAGACTCTGCCGGCTGCTGGTTGTGACCTCCCCAGGGCAATCCTCTGCTTCTCTTGAGAGGGGGCTGTGGCTTTTCTGTTTACAGTCTCACTCGGGTCCCTGCTCTCTGGGGCAGCTCCTGGATCTCTGGGACTTGGAGCTCCCTTCATCTCCTACACATCTTTGGGGGGCAGATCTGTGGCCCCTCACACTCTACTGGACGCTTCTGTAGAGAAACCTTGCATATACAAGCGTGTGTACACACACAGGTGCTCACATGGTGCTCTCATAAGTATGGACTTGAGCATGTTCAACACATTTCTTAAGGCTGTGGCTGGCACTAAATGCACTGTGATTTATTATCTTGTGATTGTTCAGTAAAACAATGTTGATTTTATATTTCCTCATCAGGGTGACGCAGTGATAGATTGCTCTTGTTGTATTGTTGTGTGTCTCTTTATTTTCAGTTGTTGTTTTTTGTTTTTCTCTTTCTGCAGGTCTAGAAGCAGACTGCTCATTGTTGATAGTTAATTTTTGTGGACCCCCCCCCCCCCCCCCTTTTGTTTCTTTCTTTCTCTTTCACCTTTGTCTCCGTGTCTGCTCGGAATTATAAAGTATCCAAAAAACAGTAACAATAAAGTTTTAAGTATCAGGCGTGACATTAAAGCACAAGCTTTGATGCTCCACCTGAGAGTAAACCTGTAAGGCTTGTCACCAGCATTCAGACATTCATTCTGTTTTCTTCACAGCCAGACGGGACACGAGAAAAAAAAAAGATGGGGTATGGCTGACAGGCAGGTCACATGTCTGACAAAGACTGATTATAAAAGAAAGACTAAAGCCATTATTTTACGCTTTACTTATCGAATAAATGCAACAACTTCTGTTATAATGAATTACTTGACAGCGGAGCTCTGAGGAAGACTACAGTGTTTGTCGAAACACAAAACAACCTTTTTGCTGTGGTAAAAAAAGAATCAAGTAATATACGTGAAGAACTGGTTGCTCAAATTCCAGGCAAAGTTCCGGGGAAGCAATGACTGAGTGCCGGACAGATGAGGTGAGCTTCCTGATATAGACTTATAGACTATAGGAGGGTAGGGTGGGTGGAATGACGGGAGATGGAGTTCTACGTGTTGGTTTGGCATCTTGAGGGATGCCGGCAAGTGGAAGTCAGACAGATGGTTGCTTTAATTTCGTTGGAAATATTGGCTTTTTGCTGAGTTTTGGCATAGCCTTTCAGTGCCGGAACTTCAGATAAACACAGCAGTGAGAAACTAAACTTCATTTTATGGCATTAAAAAGAAGAAAAGAAAGAAAGAACATTTTTTTTACACAGTGCCTCTCGAGATAAATATCCCGATTACATATATAATTCAGAAACAACATTTTTACAATGAACATTCACTGTTCTCTCGGGATTTCCTGCAGCAAATAAAAAATTTCTGAGTAGAAAGAGTCCTAATTTTAGCATGAATAAGATGTGCATGCATAGCTGTCTGAAATGGCTCAGGATCTTTAAATCAGCTGTCATCAAAATGTCACTCTGAATACTGGAATGCTGCACAGTATTACAAACTTTTTAGCAGATGTGTCATTGCATTTGGGCTATTGGTAAAAACAATCAACACCAGTCAGCAGTTAGCTTGTCCACAACACATTATTGCTATTTTTCACACTTTCTCTTCCTGATCAATGACTGTGAAAGAAAAAGAAGTAAGTATTTGCTGCCACAGACCCTAAGTGAGGAGTAAACAAACTCTTTTGCTTCATACCACCTTTGTGAAGGTAAATAATAGCACTTAGAGCTACCTGCCATTTTCTGGGCTTCTTGAGCTGGTTTGAAAGGGACACTTGATGTGAAGAGTCTAAAATGGCGACTATTGTCTATGATTTCAGAAGATGGGTGTCTAATGGTGGTCTGTAAGTAGAAGGCCACACTGCAGTAGCTAAACATCCAGGATGGCTCACTTCATTTTTGATATTTAATTCTTCTATTTCTCTTTCACATTTGCGGTTTTTGATGATAAATAACAAACTCTGTTGCAGTTTGTCAAGCAAAAGGTAGAGCAAGCGCTCAAACTTTAGTCTGGTGAAATTTGCACATTGTGAGGATAGAAAAGAAATTATAAAATATCATGAGCAAGTTTATTCGTAGCAAGATGACTTCAAGACAGGAAAATTGTTTATTTTAGAATTAGTTTGAATAAAAAGTTTATGCAGCTCACCCCACTGTTGTTTGCTGGGAAAATGCAGGCATTTACTGTTCTTGCTTTCAACAGGCTCTATATTTATTTAGTTCTACTTTTTATTTAGTTTCTTATGACAGCTCGATTTTCATAGTTGAAACTTTCTCATAGCAATTTATTTTTTTACATTTAATGATCTTTTTTGTACTTTTTTCAAGAGTTTCTTGCTACGCATACAAATATATTTTTTTTATTATTTTCCACATAGCTACATTTAAATATAACTAATCAGATAGACAGTTACCTCTTATCAATTCAAACACAAAGCTACATCAAAATATTAGTGTTTGTAAAGAGAATAATCCCTTTTAGTTTGCCGCCTCAGTGCCGTTTCTGTTTATTTGAACCATCTGCAATGTAACACAATGTGTTGGTCTGAAATTTTACCACACAGTCCAGTTTGTTTGCCTGAAACCAGCTTATAAAATATGTCTGATTTGTACAAACGTGGACTTTTCTGCTTTTGTCCAGGACAACGAGATCCTCAACACAGCTGTCCTAACGGGGCGCACGGTGGCTGTTCCAGTAAAGGTGGTCACTGTGGGAACGGATGGAGCGGTATCAGATGTCACTGAGTCAGTGGAGTGCAAGTCAACGGATGAAGAGGTCATAAAGGTTAGTGGAGCATGTCTTTTGGAGCTGCTACTCATAATCTGTATTCAAAAAGTCATTTAGGAAAATTTACTAAAAGTGAATGATGCTATTTGTAAGGCTAATGGAAAATTTATCTTAATCGTGATTATTTTTAGACAGTATTGAAGTTACAGATTTTAACACATTTGTTTCCCCTCTTCAGCTGAAAATACTCATGAATATTTGCAATTTAGCATGTCAAAATAAAAGCCTTAGGTGTTACATGACATGGTGCACTGGAACGTAGACCTCAACATCATCTATCATTTCTATATATTTTTGGACTCCATTGTTTTTTTTTTGTATTTCTTTACTTCATCTTTTTATATTGTGCTTGTGTAGATCCTCAGAAAGGTGCTCTACAAAAACCTTTCTTCTTTTTTCTTCTTCCCCATCTTCTTCTTTTTCTTCTTCTACTTTTATTTCTTTCTCTTTTTCTTCTTTTTTGTCTTCCTCTTCTTCATGTTTGTTCTCATTACTAAATTTTTTGTATCTTTTTACACGGTTGTAAATGTAAACAGAAAAATAAAAATGCATCACTACCTAATACACACATCTTAGCATCACATTTAGGGAGAATTTGGATCAGCTGCTGTTGTAGACAAATTACACATGGCACTTTTCCTACTGACTTAAATTGAAGTCATTTTGCACAAAAAAATGTTTAAAATATAAGCATGCAAGATAGGAGATATGTGATGTTAGTGACCTAAAATGTTTTAGTTTTATTATCTTTTTTTTATGAAAGAGGGACACAATATATATCAGTTTCAGTTAGTGTCGATTTCAGCAATTAAGAGGCAGACAATATCGGTATATTGGGTATTGGTAAAAATAAATAATATCAAGCATCTCTACTTTCTCTTTAAAAAATAAATAAACCTTAGTTTTGTGGTCTTTTGTGAATTTCCTGACATTTTGCCTTTGTGTGAGAAAATTGCACCTAATTTGGAAGAACATTGTTTGATTTATTTAATTCAGTAATGAAAGTGATTATTTAGTAAATGACTATTAAGGACTATCCTAAACTTCTCCTAATAACAGGAAGTCAGAACTCATAGGAGGTTTGAAAAGGCTGTTGAAGACTAAAATGATGTGAAATAAGAAATGAAAGGGAGGAGGAGGAGAGAACTGACAGACACCAATCTGTCAGTTTTGTTCCTCAGAGAGAGGCGCTGATCCGACACCATTTGAGAGTTAAAGCTGCCAAGTCATATGCAAAGAAGTGGAGACAGCTGACAGTTTTCCTCTGACTGGTTTAATATAAAGACGCATTGTCGCTGCTAAGGACATGCACTGAAATTAAAAGTTGTCAATCAAGCTTGTGACAGTAATAAAGGTTAAAATAAATTGCATGACAAAGGGGAAAAAATGATTGAAATTGTCAACTAAATTTGGACTGAAATGATGGCTGCTGATGCTTTTGAGATAAAAATTCTAAAGTCTCTGTTTTGGTGTAACTTCTTCCATCCATTCAAAGAATTTGCTGCAAAAATTTTAAGATCTGAGTTTAGTTATTTTCTGAGGTTGGATGAATCAGGTTTTATCTTTGCAGAGCTGCATCTGTTAGGTTGAGCTAATGTCCCACCAGTCACCAATGGTGCTCAAATGTGATTAAGGGGGGATCTGCCACATGTACACACAAATACTAGAGGTAAAATAGCTAATCCTTATTTTAATCATAAACTTAATTACACAAGCTTTTATAAAATTGTCCCCTTGTTTTACAGTTAATCCACTAGACTTGAGAATGTTTGGACCCCATCATCCTATGTTTCGACCCCTTCATCATTTAAAAGCTTTTTTAAACAAAACAATTTGCAAAATGTTATAACTTCATCCAAATAAGTAGCTATTTTGTTTTATTTAGTTTGGTCTCCCTCTTCCTCTTCAGGTGTCTGAGCGCTGCGATTATGTGTTTGTCAATGGAAAGGAGATGAGGGGAAAGACCAGAGTGATGCTGAACTTCACTTACAGTTTTTTGAGCGCTCAGCTGGAGATGAGTGTCTGGATACCCCGTCTGCCATTGCTCGTAGATGTGGCTGACCCTGAACTTAGTCAGATTAAAGGCTGGAGGGTCCCTGCTGGTGTTGGCAACAGGAGGTAGGACACAGTTCTTACCTACATCTGCATGTTTAAACACAAAGGATCACTGTTTAAGTAATTTGTACGTTTTTTTTTCACGTGTCTGAAATGGTAATAATGAAGGTGATTTTCTGCCTTTCAAACAAATGATTGAGCATAATTTTAGTCTCAATTCAATTAGGCTTGACACATGAGGCGTTAAGTCCAAGTTCAGCTGTGTAATGGGTGTGTATTAATTCACCAGAGTGGTCTTCAAAAAAGTCCCTATAATTTATAAGGATGAGTGGCATGAAGATTGCAATGATGGTTCAATACCACCCCAAAATGTCCCAATTTACAAAAATAAAAGTACTTTTATTTATTGTTATTGTTACAAAGATATTCCATAGATATTTCCTTGTTTGCTTACATCCCACAGGGGGGGCAATCTTACCTAAATGCCCCACGATCCTATCAAAGCCGTGTAACTGAAGTCATGTCCATCAGCACATGAAGAATTAAGGCTTTGTCCGGAATGGAGAGTGTGTGTCTATAAAGATGGAAAGAAAACAAGAAATAAGCCAAAAGTGCAGTGATTTATTGCTATTTGTTTTCGCGCGTGTGTGTGTGTGTGTGTGTGTGTGTGTGTGTGTGTGTGTGTGTGTGTGTGTGTGTGTGCGCGCGCGCGCGTGTGTGTGCGCGTGTGTGTGTGCGTGCGCGCTTTAGCTAGGCAAGAGCTCATTTACTTTCACATAAGTGAACAAGGCCACTCATTAAAGTCTGGTGTGATGACTGACCTGTCACTCACTGCTGGAAACAAGCCCCGACCTCATGTTTCTGCTGCCAGCCACAAGTCTCACCTTTGTGTAGATTGCTGTTCCTTCACTCATGCAGGGGAGAAAAAAGGAGGGAGGCATGTTAAAGGCAGGTGAAGAAGTAAGCCAAGCCAGTCGGCCACAGCATCTTAACTTGTCAGTACGTTTTTCTGCCTGAGCGGCCATGCCTCATTAAACCTAATGGAAACTGTCATGGTAATTCCCCTCGGCCACCTGGCCAGTAGAGAGGGAAGTAATGCTCCAAAGGGTGAGAATAAAAATGTGTCTGACGGTGAATGAAAAAGAGGGGAGACCAATAAGAAAGTTGAAAAACAGGAAATTCTCAAAAGAATCTGAGAGAAATGTGAAGTGAGAATTCCACTCACCAGCCACTTCATTAAGTCCACTTGTTCAATTGCTTGTTAACACAAATAGGTAATTTGCCAGTCACATGGCAACAACTCAACCCATTTAGGAATCTAGAGAAGATGATGATGATTATGACTTTCTCAAGTTCAAACTTTGCATCAAATTACAGAAGAAAGAGGATTTAAGTGACTTAAAAGGTAACGCGGTTATTGGTACCAGACAGGCTGATCCAAGTATTTCAGAAACTACTGATCTACTGAAAGATTCACCCAAAGCCATCTGTAGAGTTTACGCTCTGAAACTGATGAAACATCTATTTAGTAGTTGTGTGGATGAAAATGCCTTATCGATGCCAAAGAAGATTAGGTACATGTAGACTCCGGTCTACAGAATACCATCTCTGAATAACAACATGGTAAACCTTGAAGCAGATGGACCACAGCAGCAGAAGACCAAACTGGACAATAAGAGGTTGAAAAATAGTTTCTTTATCTGATGAGTCTCAATTTCAATTGCAATATTCAGATGATCAAGTCGTCATTTGGTGTCAATATGAACGCATGCATCTATCCCACCTTGTATTAATGGTTCAAGCTGCTGCTGCTGATGGGAATGTGATGATGTGGGGGAGATGTTCTTGGCTGACCTTTAGTCACTTAGGGCCACCACCACAGCCTACCTAAATATTGTTGCTGACCATGTCCATCTCTTTACGACCACTTGGACCCATCTTCTGGTGGATACTTCAAATAGGATAAAGCACCATGTCACAAAGCTCAGATCATCTCAAACTGGTTCCTTGAACATGACAATGATTTTACTGGACTCCAACAGCCTCCACACTCACCAGATCTGAATCCATTACAGAACTCTCGAGTTGTGGAATGGGAGTTTACATTTATTTATATGATCTTTGTTTTACCAGGTGAGTTGGTTGATTACCTTTCTCACTTATGTCAACCTGGCCAAGAGACAGCAACAAAAGCAGAATATATGAAAAATAAACATACAAGAGGATAAAAACACAAATAAAACAATTACAAATATAAGGACCATTGTCACAAACTATCATCTTTGTCAGAAGCAGGTACACTGATCAGAAATGCTTGGTGGTGTTGAGTTTTTGAAGGTAGACAATGTAATGTAGGAGGTGAGTTTTATGGTTTTTGCAGCTCATTCTAGACTTTTGGATCAGCAAACTGAAATGAGGAATGACCAAAAGTGGTGCAAGCTCTGGGAATATTGGTAGAGATTCTGTCAATGGAGCGTAAATTACTAAGGATGATGGAGATGTTGAGAAGTGGGTGACGGTATCAAGGAGTTCCGTGGCGGGTCGAGGCGGTTGTCCATTTGTCAGGGAGCTGATCTTGTCCCCGAAAAGGTCCTACAGGTCCTTGAAAGTGACACCAGTCTGGAGATTTGGGTGCAGGTGCTTGAAGTAGTTGATCCTTTTCCAGCGACTCTTGCAGATTGATAAATGTCGTCAAGTTAACGGAGATGTTTTTAGACGCAGTCCTATATTATTTGCTTGCCAAGCCATCCTATCTGTGTGAATATGTAGTCTGGCCCCGACCCGTATAAGAAGCTCAGTTATGGGGTGGAATCTACAGTTGTCTTTCAACATCTCTGCATGTTATTGGACAGCATTAGGACCAATCGGAACAATTAACAATGTGATGTACTCACCGCTATGGATGTCATTCAATGGAGCAGTTCGACACACACTGTTGAAGTAGATGCAAAGACATCCTTTTTCTAAAGGAAGGACTTATGTGCCTCTAGCTAAAGAAAAGCCCAAGTCTAAACTGTCCAAAGTTGAGGCTAAAGCCGTTTCAAATGAACCGATGTCATCTTGTTTCGCTCCATCTCAGTAACATCCCACCCACCAAACCTATATAGCGAATTTACTGTGATGCACAATTCTACAATTTATGGCAGTTCCTGTAAAGCACATATGTCAGACTCAGGGCCCGCGGGCCAGATGCGGCCCGCGGAGCATTTTTATGTGGTCCGCGAGATAAATATCAAAAATATGTTAAAACTGGCCCGCTGGCTGATTTTACCGCAAAGACTTCAACTCCCATGATTCTTTGCGGCGTCAGCGCAGAGCCGACGCGCCCCCTCCTTTGTGTTTTTTCCAGCGCCTGCTGCTGGTGTCTGCAGCTCCGCTGTCTCAGACAAACTACACTCCTCTCACTCAGCGGAGAGTTCACTCAGATATTTTCTGACGTTGAAGCCCAGAAACGGAGATTCTAGCCGCTCAGTAATGTGTTCACGACTGAAAGAGAAAGTTTTCCAACTAACATCCAGACAGAGCTGATATAACTCCAGCAAACAGTGACACGCTCAAACCAGCATGACTCTGTGGCTGCTGTCGTTGTTTCCTCCCCGACACACAACAACGTGGTCAAGTTGCTCAGACATGTTCATCAGCATAAACCTATGTGAGCACCTGTTGTCATCTAATGTTGTCATTATTATGATGAAGATGAACAAAACAACAGGAGTCTCCTCCTCAGCTCAGATCAGCCCCATGATGCAGGTATCTGGCTGGAACAGGTGAGCATCACAGTAAACCAGTGGAGCAAACTGAGCTTTAAATATGTTGGTTTTATGCTCTTTTTCTGCTCCAAAACGTGAAAGTTAACTGGTGAGATGTTGCATTTTCATTTCAGATAAAATGATATTTTTATTTTGTTGTTGGCCCGTGAGAAAAGATTTAACCTACAGTAAAAAAGGAAGTGGAAAGGCTGCAGATAGATGAATAGAATAGAAAATCCCTTTATTGTTCATCAGTGGGGAAAGCTAGATATCACAGCAGCGATGACACTTATTACAGGAGAAAAAAAGGAGAATAAAAATAAGAAAAATGAATAAACAAGAAAACATAAATCCTGAATAGATTTTAAAAATGCTGATTATACCACAAGTAATGAATACCACTGATGCCTTTTATTTAAAACTGACTTGCTCGCGTGTAATTTGGTTATTCCACATTCAGTGTTAATGCAGAAATATGTTTGTTTCCAAATTTAAAGGTTCAAAATTGCATATATGTTGATAAAGAAAATGTGCAAATTTGCCGTCACTTTTTCAAAAAATATTAAGTTTGGCCCTCGACTCCGTCTCAGAGTTTCATTTCGGCCCCGTGTGAATTTGAGTTTGACACCCCTGCTGTAAGGAGATTGGGAAGGGTTAGCAAAACCATAAAATACACAGAAAACTTCAGTACAGTGCATTAAAACATCAGGTGAATTTAGTTTAAAGCTCCAAGTTGTAGACAAATCTTCCTGTGAAGGAGGAAAAATGAAGGTGTAATATTGATTTACGCAAGCTCTAACTATGGCAGAGCTGAGGCAAACCAGGCGTTCTTCATCAAAGGGCTTGTCCGTGGACTGAGTCCCGGTTGGAGAATAGGTTTGAAAGTCAGGGTCCTCTTCCATTGATCAGGATGGTTCCAGTCTTACGTTGATAAGTATCTTGAAGTCCAGGTCCGGAGCGTAATAACGTAGTTCGGAACATGAAGCGCAGAGTTCAACGTCTCAATAGGAAGACTTCAGGGTCCTTCCGTGGCATGTCGAGGTGGTTGTCCAATTGTCAGGGAGCTGATCTTGTCCCCGAAAAGGTCCTACAGGTTCTTGAAAGTGAAACCAGTCTGGAGATTTGGGTGCAGTAGTTGATCCTTTTCCAGCGTCTCTTCTTCGCTGTGTCCTGTTGTAGTTGCGTCCAAGGGGTCTTCAGCCGAGGTGGATGCAGGTTACGTCGTCCTGTAGGTGCGCGGCCAGGGAGGAGCCCCAATCCGTCGTCTCAGTTCCAGTTCTAGTACCCCCTCAAATGCTGCTATCTCAGTTGTTC